TGTTTTAGAGTTACCTACATCGGAGTGGCAAAAGTGCTTCGAAAATTGGTTCGGGCCTATGCAAAAGTGTATAGATCTTAATGTGGAGAATTTTTAAAGGCAACAAAACGATTTTCAATAAGTGATATTTGTTTCTGTTCCCAACTCTCAAAATATAAAAGGCAGCCTACGTAAGTTCTGCTGCAGCCATGATGTCGAAATCGGGCAGTGTCGTAGCTGACGGTACTAGCTTCTGATCAAAACACTGTGGATGGTGACAGCCTCCTTCCTAATCCCGCCATCCCTCTGGATGTCTGCGAACTTTTGAATGAGATGACCTAATAATTACATGTGTCACTTTTCATAGTCACGCCTTAGTAGCAGCATTCGCAACTGACCAACAGGCCAAAGTTGCTGTGCAACCCAACTGATGCCTACATATTGCCTATCCACATGAAGGGCAGGGTATTTATTGACAACCATCAGCAAGAAGTTTTCTAAGCAAAATTTAGCTTCATACTAAGGCCTACAAATTGCCTATCCACATGAAGAGCAGGGTATTTATTGGCAACCATCGCAAGAAGTTTTCTAAGTAAAATTTAGCTTCATACTAAGGAATCGAACGAGTAAAAAACTAGCCAAATGGTCTAGCTGGTCATTCCTTAAGCCCTTTGAGGTTCGGGAGGTCTTAGATGCACCACGCCTGAGCAATCTTCGCTTTATGGGAAGCTCTATGGGAAAAGGCATCGTAGGGTAGTACCACTTTTTGTTGGCAAGTTAGCCTGAGCCCAGGAAATCGCGGGGTCCGCTTGTCGGCGGTCTCAACTTCTTCCTATCTCGGCATCTTCTGCCATTACTCTAGCTTTGATGAGGTCTTCCTGATAACACCCGTCACCTCTCCTTCGGAGCTCTTCGTGGTCACTTACTCTGAGCTTCAAACTCCATTGCCTCCATTATCGGATGATTCTGTGGTTTTCCAGCAAATGTTCATAAGATTGCAGGCGCAGCTCTCAAACTTTAGCTGGACAGAACTGTTTGCATGACTGTTTTGACGTCTTCATTTCTGACTCAGTCCAGTCGCATCCAACCGCATATCAATCTCAGAATCCTCACTCCAACAAAGCGAAGCTGTCCTTCATGGAATGTCCTCAGGGGCCAACGCTCGCTGACGCGAAGCATCGTGGACCCTACCACTATATGATACACCTTTCTTTTGAGCCTTCTGAAGCACCAAACGGTTCCAAGTGATAACGGTGAACTCCCCTCGTTTTCTATGCCACGTCTACTCGGGCTTTTACAGCCTGGCCCACGTCACCACCAGCGGTTAGAAATTTGGTTTTCTTCATGTTTAACCAGAGTTCATTCTCCACCAGCACTTCCTGTCATTTGCAGAGCGATATCATCAAAATGGAGGATGCTTTCCGGTGATCCATCCATGAGTTCCTTTGTGATGACATCTATGGTAAACAATAGGAGAATCGGGTTTAGAGCTGCCTTNTGATAACGGTGAACTCCCCTCGTTTTCTATGCCACGTCTACTCGGGCTTTTACAGCCTGGCCCACGTCACCACCAGCGGTTAGAAATTTGGTTTTCTTCATGTTTAACCAGAGCTCATTCTCCACCAGCACTTCCTGTCATTTGCACAGCGATATCATCAAAATGAAGGATGCTTTCCGGTGATCCATCCATGAGTTCCTTTGTGATGACATCTATGGTAAACAATAGGAGAATCGGGTTTAGAGCTGCCTTTGTGTACCCCAACCGCCTGTTGCCTAGTTTACACAGCTTAGAATGCAGCTCATTATCATGGATGCCCGGGACCAGAAAGACCATGAAACTGGAACGTTTCATTTCTAGGATTGTTCTTCAGTGACAGTTGCTGCGAGATCGGGGCAAGGCCCCTCAACCTCGGGTCGGCTAACCGCTCGATCAACTTCATCGTGTGAGTAGTCAACCTGATCTCTCGGTAGTTGTGACAATCCATTGCGTCCCCATTTGTTGAATATGAGAACTGTAGTACTGCTCTTGCCCGCGTCTGAGGATCTTCCTTCAGAGTTCACAGTGCTCAGGAATCGTGAACACGTTTATCCCTTGCACTCGGGGCATTTTCCATGCTTCATTCGAAGCCTTTTTCGGAGCATTTGCCTTCCCAACCTTCATTTTTCTTGTTACTTTACGCACCTCATGTTCTGTTAAAGGCCGAATGATTCTCTAGTTGGGGCTGTTCTTGCTAGCAAGTTATTTATTTGGAAAGCTGTCAAGCTGGAAGCATTCTTTCCATCTACGCCTGACCTCACGAGGCTTCCTCATGTCTGCAACGTCACTGTCCTATGCAACCCTCAGTACTCTGATTTCCTGAGTGGCCGGGTGCCCTGCTTCTTCAGCCGGAAAACGAATCTCTTTCATTTCAATAATCGGACTTAACTGCAAGACATCCATTTCCGTATCCTTTCTATCCGACGGCAGCCTTGGCGAGCGCTTGCAATTTCTGTAGGCAGCTAGACCTTCTCCTCGAGCTCGCATCTTTAGCAAGCGCTTGTAAGACTCTTTCTTCTACTTGACAGCTGGCTGGTCTTCATCATTCCGGAACTCAGTGTGCTGCTGTTCGAGAAGCTCCACCAATGGCTTGATAGTGCCGGTTTCCTCATAATTTATTGAAATGCATGTGAAGTCAACCATGTCTTCCATCTCTACGGGGTCTGTTAATTGACAGGGATTATAGAGGTGGAAGACCTGGTTGGCCAGGCAGATACCGATCCGGGATTCGACCGTAGTCATGCATGCGTGGTAGTGCCTCCCTTGCCACCACTCCATCTCCGTGCTGATCAGAAAAGTAAAAATTACAGCTCTCAAAAAAAANAAAAAAAAGCTCACGTGTAATTGAGTTACACGATTTTTGTTTCAGGTGGAGTGATTGGCGCAGTGGATGGAGCTCTCACAGGCCTTGTCGATGGTGCCTTTTTGGGATCAATGGGAATTCTCTAGGTTATCAAATGATATTCGCCTTTCTAAGAAAGAGAAGAATTCATGAAGCAGTTGAAGTATTGGCAGTTTTGAAATCCATATCATTCATCTGAATACGATGTCATATCAAAATATACTTTTTTGCTCATGCTTATGGAGTTGTTCAAGTTGACTAGATTAATAACTGGAATAAATTCTGGCTGCGAACGCACACATATTTCGAACAAACCTCTGAAGCAGTATTTGCCACTAAACATACTGTTGTAAAGTGGTGCTGGTTCATTGTCATAATCCCTTCGCCTGAGGTGAGGTACACCGCGAGTTTTGAATTCGATATTCCTCACCTTATCACGGGCATCACCTGTCGTCCATGAAGATCGGCTTGCTCCAAGGAACGCCAGTCACATCAACATTAGTCCAGCAAGCCTTCCTTGTTCGAAAGACACCAAAGCATCTCTTCAGTGCAGAGCTTTTGTAGAAGTTTTTAACCATTGAGCTGGCAGTCTTCTTGGAGTTCGTTTGATATCTTGAATAATGCAGTCAGCAGTTACTTTGATTTAACGGTCATCACAAAATCGTCTTGAGTACCAGTTCCGTTTTATGGGTTTCATTTGTTTTTTCATTTAGAGGCAGCCGCCTCGCGCACTAGTGGTATTTTTTGTGGTCCGAAACGCGTCTATTGACGTTGCATTTTATGGTCAATTTATGCTCATTAAGTTACAGTTGTTGAACCAGAATAACTACCCTTATGCACTTGTATAAATTTGATTTTCAACTGATAAAAATTTAACCGATTTCTGCGATCCTGCTTCTCAACAGTCCACTACTCATTTTTCCAGTTATCTTTCGTGCTTGAACTATTTCACCTCAGAATATTATTTCTACTAATTTGCTCTAGCCACACAGAAATTAAGTTTGCAAACTCTACAAGACTTTGGAGCGCCGCTGGATGGATATAATGAACTCATATGACAAATTCTTCAGGAGGTTCATACCGCTTATCGAAAAAGGTGTTACCGCCGATGGACATGTCAAAAATAGCAAGAGGGCCCGGCACTGGTTGCTCAATTTGGAACATGCAGTTGAAGTCAAGAAAGTTGCGTCCAAGTATTTCACTAAGGTAAGGGGTGGGGCTAATAAGTTGTCCAAATCAGTTTTTTAGTAATATCAAGGATTGCATCTGTAATGCAAATGCAGAGTGTGTAGTATAACTAATACCTGTAACTACATCTTGTCACATGTTACGGGCTTATAACACTCCTGCAATATGTAGGAATGACCACGAGGAAATTATTATACTACGAAGCAAGAATTGAAGAGCATATTAGTATTACACATCAAGTGGGAAGCAAACACCACCACAAAACCATTTCTTTGATTGTGATAATGGGATAACAGTGAGGAGCTTATAATAGAACAACCGTATTGGATAAACACAAGTAATATTGGTGGCCCTTCATTGGTCAAGAATGGTCCCCTTTTTCCTCCCTAAAAATCACCAAGGCAAAAAGCATTGGAGGAATACGCGAGAGTGCAGAAAAGAAAGGAGGAAACTGCGATAAAATTTTGGATGGATTGGCAAACAAGGATGAATTATCAAACTGGTTGAATATCGTAATTCGGACCTGTTATGATCCATGTAAAAGGAGATAAACACGGAACTAGACTGAAAAAGGAACAGAAGTATAGAATAGACAAGGGTATCACAAGCCAAGGGGTTAAAAATATTTACATGGAACTACATATGAGGAAAGTTATTGCGTTCTTTGAAAACGACTATGAAATAAATGATCATCGAATGAATCTACTCACGGATCGTTTCTACTCTTGCTATCATAAATTTGTTAAACCGCTGCCATAAAATGCAACATAGTCAGCAGAGGAGTGTATTGCGCTTATAGAAATGTTGAGCGGTATCATGATAAATATGTATTCTGAGGAAGGCAGACTTCGATAACTCCATAATTTGTAAAAGTTCACTCGAGCATTATAAAGAAGGAATTGCAGTTAGTAAAACATATGTCCATAAGAATACTAATAACACATACGAACTCTTTCAATGGAATGTTGAACATCCATTGATACTGAACCATAAATTCCCAGCCGGAGCCCATTGTCCGCCAGTACTTTCTGCCATCTCTGCAGCTTCTCCTAGAGTTCTTCTCTGCTCTCCTATCAGAGCGATGTAGTCAGCATAGAGAATGGTCTCGAACAGTCCGTTCTGAAACTCGCTTGTAATGACATCCAATGTGAGTAGAAGAGGAACGAGCTTGATGTTGATCCCGGGTGTATCCAACCGAATGTCTGACATCTGTTGCTTCGGTCAGACCATGTGGAGTGCGTACTGCTGTCCTGGACCCATCGCACATGCTTTTGACCAGGGAAATCAGGTGTTCTGAAACGCTTCGCTCTCGGAGCGCTCTCCAAAAATGTTGTCTCGGGAGATAATTGGATGGCCTTTTTCAGATTGAGGAGAATCAGGTAGCGAGGATTGCGCTTTTCGAAGGTCGTAGTATTCTTTCCATTTACATCTGACCTCCGCAGGCTTCCTCAAGATTGCACTTTCTTGTGCTTAAAGGCACGGTTCACGATGAAAAAGAATACTGAGTTCTTTCTTTAGGAATACTCAGTGCCCCCCATGGGTGGTAGAAGGGACCCTCTCGCTCCCACAATCTCGGCGCTCAGGGCATAGTGGAAGCCCCGTTGCTGCCGTAGTTCGCTTTCCCGTCCCTCGATCGGTGTCACGTTAGACGAATGTCGAGACAATACAGATTGCTATTATTCGTTCTAGGACCCATGCACAATCAGCTAATCGCCGAGTGATGAGGCGATGTTTTTCTCTCATTCTTTTTTCCTCCATTATTCTTTTTGCTGCCGAGATCCCTTTTTCAATTCCCTACCCTAAAAGGCTAAAAAAATAAGCCATTTCTGCTGTAACTAGGTTTCTTGCTTACTTGTGCTTATAAGCGGATGGATTTTTGCTTACCGTAGTCAGATATTTGCACCAGGACCCACACGTACGCAATGAGGCCTTGTGATAGTACGTCCAGGCGCTCCACTCTTCTTCATTTTTCTGGTCTTACTCTCGTCCAGACCCCTTTTTACCGATTTTTCGAAGCCTTTTTTCACTTCGGAAACACAGATTTAAGTAGTTTCTTCATCTTCATCGCACTATTTTTCATCTTATCTTCCATTTTTCGTCATTATCTGGGTTACCCAAAATTATCGTGAACTGTGCGTTTAACGGACTTCACCACCTCAATGCCTTGAGTAACCCGGCGCTGTTTCTCCACTCGGAAAATGCACTCCTCTCCTTCTCGGCCATCGAGTTTCTCGTACAAAGCGTCTATTCTCGCATTCTTTGCTTTCGCTGTCTTGGCGAGCCTTTTGGAAGCTCTGTAGGCAAATAAGTCTCCTGGGCTCACATTTCCTGCTACCGCTTGCAGGTCGGTTTTTCAGGATCGGAAAAACTTGCTTCCAGAATTTTCCGTTTAAATTCCTTTCTTCCGACTTTATGCTACCTCTACCACAAAATCCTCCGCTTCGTTCCTGTCCTTGATTTCTAAGGGAGCTCTATTGCTATGTCTGCTAGAAGATGTCTGTACTGCACAGCCAACTCTTCGCCATAGAGTACCATGATGCCCTTTACAGCTTTTAGGGACAATTTTCATACGAGCACGTGACATGGTTGTTGTGGCCGTGTTTCCCCATCAGCCGGCCTGCCAATCTGGGCCTGACGCTGGAACCGTTACCATTTTTGCTCTTTTTGCAGGGTATGAATTTTGCTTCGGCTGGGATCAAACTCGCACTCTTTCTGAGTGCAGACATGGGTCTACACTCTAACCTACTCGACCATCCCTGCCACTGATATGCAATATCAATCTATTGTGTAGTTGGCTGCTCAATCGCAATTTTGCTTCCTTTAGTAACACAGTGTTCCAACTCTAAAAAAGGTTTAAGATGTTGTGGGATTGTAGCTGTAAACCTAACGATAATGACATGAGTGGCTGCTGCTGACTTCATATTCTTTTAGAAGAGAAATGGGAGGGATTGGAGATAGGGCTCGATGGGGCATTCAAGTTTAAATAGGAAGGAGAAGAGTTTGGTATTATTTGGGCAATCCGACACTCTTTTACGAATTCAGCTAGGTCAAAAGGTTTTCGCCCGTCTTCATGCCTCATTAGGTGGAACACTCATGTCGTTGAAAATAAAGATTTGTGTAGAAGCTCTGCGTTTACATGCTTAATATGAAGTTCGTGAAATTTCAGTAAACCAAATAATGGATAAATAATGCAGATTGCCAGAAATGTGCCCTCGCGGTAGACGGCTTAAGACGTTATTAGCTGGAGTGGGAAACGGTTCTTGTCAATTTCTCAAAAGAGGGTGGTTACTGTGTAGTTAAGGCGATAACGCTCAAGGTAATCTTTAAGGAATTTCAATTATTAGAATCCATGAGAGGCGCACAGTGTCATGCGCAGGCCAACTTGTACTATTATTGGGCAGAGGTGTAGTTGCAAGTGGCACACTATGATAAACGGATAGTCGGATATCGAATCTCGGATCAATGATAGCCCCCGTCAACTGGACCTTCCATCCAAGGTCTGCTAACTGGTACCAGTTTCTCAGGGGACTCGGGAGAGGAGAGCGGAGGAAGGGGATAAAAATACTGACTTGTACGTCAGCCGGCCAGCATAGGTCATTGTGTAGGCCACGTGCTTATTCAAAAAAAAAAAGCTCTTTTGGCCTTGAATGCAAGTTAAATGCGAAGACGCTCCTAAAAATGAAATTCAGTAACGTCAGACAATTGATACTTCTCTCTGTTGGTGTTATAATTTAGACATTTCAAATAGTAGTTGACGATGTCTGATGTCTAGTTTTTATCTTGTTGTGATCAAGTAGTGGAGTTTAACAAAAGTTTTTTGGATTTGTATTTCCTGCTTAAACTTCCTGAAGCAAAGCTTTCATAGTGTTGTCCTAAAGGCACAGTTCACGATAACTCTGAGGCATCCGTTTTTATTCGAAAAGAGGAAGTAAAAAATTGGGAATAGTTCAGTGGCAGCAAAGAAATTAGGAGAATCAGCTGATTTCGGCTAAAAGTAGGGAAAATGGAAGTTGAACGAGATTACCATGTCGGAAATAAAGTGGAAGGGAATTTGCACAAGATTCCACACTTTGCAATTGCGCTAAGAGCTGACTACAACAAGCCAGAACTGAACAGGACTGCATTTCACTGTGGCTATGGGTCATTAAATGTTGTTTGAGCTTCTCACATGGGTCCCTAGTTAAAGGTGCAGCCCCTAGAATGCCGTTCAGACTGGGCTGCGCACACACGGGACAACCTTTGAATATGCCCTATCTAGGTCGTTTGAAGACTTGACAGCTCCAAATGTGGTATACGGGATACCTCAAATTCATTCTATGGGAAAATCTCAGGAATCAATTTTATCGTGAACTGTTCCTTCAAAGTACTGCAGTTACCGCAGTCGCAATGAAGAATCGATTTTATGTGGAACGTCAGCTTAATAAAGTTGTGTGGACCATGAGAATAGTCAAAAAGTGATTCTAGTTGACTGCTACTCAGTCAATAGTTACATATGAAGAAAATCAAGTAAAAAATGGTGCTATAAATTATATGTAATTTTTTTGAACTTGTATTTCCTGCATAAGCTTCCTAAAGCAGAGCTTCTTCTTTCTTTAGCATTTCTGTAATTTCTTTAAGTAAAAGTTGCTGGAAAAAATGTGTGAGATTTCCAAATGGTACCCATTGGCGTTGCTGAATCGTAGTACTTTGAGCACTGCTACTTTTGATGTGACTTATGATGATGATTGTTACGGGTGCAGATGTGAATCATCAATACCATTTTCAGAAATATCCGTCTGAAAAATGTTGCGTATCAAGAATATAGCAGTTCTCGTAGTTCTCTGCTGACATTTTCTGCATCATTCTTAGAGTAATCAAGATAATGAGTTTTCATTGCACTTTGCTACATTTCCTATCCACAGTTTTCAAGTGAGGCTGGCTATTTTCCCGCATATGGCTCGTTAGATTACAGAAATCCTCAGAATGTTTTAGAAGGCGTTGCAAAGAATGATTCGAATTTAACCTTTTAGCAAAGCGGGTCTATATTATGTAATATACTTTTGAAGCCCGTAAGTAAAATGTAGTGTGTGTAGTAAAGTGTGTTTCAGAGCTCATTTACTATTAGGTTGATGCATAATTATTGCGGATTTTTTTCACGGCTTCTTTTCTCCCGAAATTGTTTGACTATTGAGTTCGGGCTTTTTCTAGGAATGATCTACTTGATTTCCTCTACAAGAATATACACAAAAAACCATCCGCATTCGCGAAATTAGGCTTAACTACTTCGAGAAAGATTGGAAGGCGGCGCACTCATTCCGCGATCTCAGTAACTTTTCGGCGATCGAACAATGAGCCAGAACCAACCAAGAAACGGGATCTGCCCCTAAATCTGCCTTTTTCACCAACAGAAACTTTTATGGATTATCTCGTCAACCGTTCATGGAAAAAATGTCTAGAGAATAGAAGTTACGTCGATTTGGACAACTCGATGGCCTATGTCAAGACCTGGATTGCCCCTCAGGATCAAGACCTCTTCGCTTTTGGGATCCGACTAACTAATCAATGGGAAGCAGTGCTTGACGTAGATGGTAAATAAGTTCCGGAGTAATTATTTGAATATGTCTTTGCTTAGCATTTCTGTAATTTCTTTAAGTAAAAGTTGCTGGAAAAAATCCGCAATAATTATGCATCAACCTAATACATTACTGCTATTAATTCGTGGTCCTCGACGGTACATCCGTTTGCGTAAATTGGTCTTTCGCAAACAGTCGCCTCGTCATAGCTTTTGCTAAAGAATCCCTTTCAATTTGAAAGGAAGACCAGCGTAAAGATCTGCCTGTGATGAATACCATTCCAATTGAAAGTTTGAAGCTATGATAGTTTTGTTTATGTAAAACCGAATTCTTGAAACAGTTAAGCCGACATATAATACTAATGGGCCCCTTTCGATAATTGCACTCAGGGTAGTTTACTTAGGAATTACTTGAGTATCTCTTCGTGGTTCTTAGAATAACCAAATACTCTCTAGTCATTGAGGACGGACTCTTTTTTACTCTTTACATTCAGTGCAGTATGGAATCCATAATTTTATGGAGGTCCGAGTTCTTTCTTCCTTGACGAATAGGCTTCAGAGTCATAATGCTAGGAGAATCTACAATTCATAAGATAAATAGGGCACGGAACTCAACATCGGATGGTTTCTCGGCGCTGTCGAGAGATCATTCGGTGAA